ACCACTCTTTTGTAACAGCCAACAATAACTGGTCTAATAAAAAGGTAAAAATAAACCATCGAAGTAAATTCCAGGAAAAGTTCTCAGATAAAGACGGTACCATTTATCTCGAGCATGGAAAAGAACTGCAGTTCAAAAAATTTAAAAATTTGATAAGCAGAAAATTTGATTCAGAGAACTGAAGCTACTGTGTAGCTGGAAGCAAACTGTACAGCCTAGGTCTATCAGAACAGTGATTTTCTGCTACAACAACATTGGTATTCTAAGCAGATTTCAAAAAAAAAAGTTCTACAATTGCAAAAGAGTCTTCCCACGTCAAACTGACCATAAATTCACTAATTTTTCCAAAACTTTTCAAACTTCTTCAAGTCAAAGAATATTGGAAACCAAAAAGGTTACTTTACTTCCCCTATCAACGGTAACTGCACACTCACAAAACGGCGAAAAGCGCATTTCTTCACTGAATGTGTCCGAATTTACAAGATCACGAGGTCTTTTTCTCACCACAGAATTATACAATTCTAGAGCTCCTCAAAAGAAGATATCTTCTTCCTTTTAGACCTCCTTAAAGTTAATTCCTCGTCACAAATTACATAAGAAACGGAGAACTATCAGCTCAAAACAGGCTAAAAAAATTGCTGAATTTTTAATTTCTTTTTAATGGTGGTTCTCTGTGCAAAACTCCCTTTTCACCAAATTCTAAAACGAAGCTTTGCTGAGCGGGAGAGTAAAAAAACCCGTGAAAACCGTATCAAAATGCTTTGCCCTGCCAGTTGTGCATTCTGAATAAAAACTTGGAACCTTAAATGGCTTTAGAGCCCAACTTTTCCAACTACCGTAATCAAAGTAAAACGGCTCAATTTTTAAATAAAATTGAAGCGAAAATACTTTAATTTAGTGAGATGTTCACAACCTCATTTCACTCTTCTCTCCATAACTACCAACTGATCATGCTCCAACTTTACTGCACCTTGCAGCAAAAACAATCCGATACAATATATCCTTAAAGGATTGAAAAGTCAACAGTTTTTCAAGCCGTTTTAAAAAAAACATTCTTCGTTTTTCTAATTCGTGGAAAAAAGCCAAAACTTCAGAACAACGAAGAGGTAAAAAACTTTTAAAAAAATCATAAAACATATAATAAATCAAACAAGTCGCAATTTCTCCAAATTTCCTCGCATTTACTCAAGAAATGCACTTTCCGCAACTTAAGGAAGATGTTAATGTCCCAAAGAAGGACAAACAAGATAGGCCCTCCAGTTCTGCGTACAACGGCACAAATCCTGTCGCCCAACAAAGGTTGGAAGATATCTGACAAATTGATTGAATGATGAGCGAAGGAACCCCAAACCGAGCAACAATAAAAAACTGTCATTTAGAACTCCAGCAAACAACAACTATGGGTTCACAGAAGTTCCAAAGAGCTACGCTGCTCCTAACAGTAATCACCTCTACGAATAAGTTTACATTGACCTCCACAAATAATTCAAGCCAAAAAACAAGCAAAACAAGTCCATTTTAAGTCAAGCAGTCTAAAAAAAAGCATTTAAGAATTTACAAATCAAGAACGTGATGAAAGTTCTAAACAAAAATTTTATACTTGGGTGGTTGCTGCATTAAACTCTATCCCACACCACGTCGCAAAACCAAGTCCGGAAATGGAAGCGAAAGTGACCGTAAGAACCCCCGCGAACGCAAGTCCCATACAGGAATCTGTAGCAAGCTTGCAGTTGTGAAGCTTCATCTGTGAATGAATAGCGTAAAGCAGCATAAGCAGGTATCTGCAAAAAAAAAAAGGAGAAACAAAAGTTGTTTTTGAATGAAGCAAAGTTACGGCTAAACATAGTATCTGCTTGAAACGCAGGTCTTACCCCACAAGAATTATTGTGTAATTAAATTGACAAAACTCTTCCAACATATCAGCGATTGATGTAGACGCCAGTGGATGTATTCGGCGATGTTTTTTTCCAGTTACGGGATCCAGTTCATCATTCAGTTTATGGTCGTATAAGCTTTGCGTGAACTTCCTCTGCCATGCCGTGATCACCTTCTCAGCTTCTCCATAACTCCAACTTGTCAAATTTAAGCCAGGTTTCAAATGGGTTTTTGTAGCATCCTAAAAATAAACTAACCACAGTATTCTTTACGAGCTTCCTCCCCTCAAGAACTTCGCATCTGATAGTTCTTTTCTAACAGAAAACGAGGGTTACTCGTTGTCACGTAATTTGAAGCAATAAAATCACTTTTTTATATCTGAACCAAACTATAAGTGTACAAAGTGTCAATTTTAGCTGTGCTGTTCACAAAAGCTATAAGCTAAAACACCCGCACTTCTCCCAGTTCATTAGAAAACGAGCACAATTTGACAGAGTGTCTAGAATATTTGGACATACTATGGTGCTAGTCAATACCTTGAAGCGCAAATAGACGTCATTGGCTGATGCAACCAAAATTACGCTTTGAAGCGCCTCCGCTGCAGATAAATGACCCTGTGTTTTCTTGACTCCACCAATGATTAAATCTTCTGGCCAAGACATTACCTCCTTGGCAAATCCACGACAACCACCATCCATCACTTTACCATAATCTGGGAGTGTTGGAAACTCAGTCTAAAAGATTTTAAAATCAATACTGAACAGTTACCGTAAAAAACTTTGGAAATGAGTTCCAAGAGCTTCCATTCGATTAGTCTAACTACAGAGCGCACTTCATTACAAAGTTGGGTAAAAATGCTTTTTAAATTACCTTATTCAGAAACATTTGCCACCTGTCGACATTTTTCCTCATCCAATTAGCAAAGGGGCGGGCGTATTTTTTGCACTGAATACCTGCAAGCCAAATAATAAAAAAAATGATTTTTCATTTGATCCATAAGGATCTTTAAAAGAATATCCAGTTCCTACAATTAAGCAGTTGTGCTTAACGCCAAGCAGTGCCTTGCGACAATAAAACAACAGCAAAAATCTTTTTTCAAACTTAAACTTGGAAGCTCATCCACAGCAAAAAATGGAACCAAAACAAGATCAATCTCACAAGAGAACATTTGAACGAGAAGATAAAAATGGTTATACTTAGCAAGATAAGGAAAGAACAATAAATTTTCATAAAAGAACTAAGAAGCTGAACAGCAGAAGCCAAAAACCTCCATGTCTCTCTCCACATGCTCTAAAAATAAATTTTGCGACAAGAACTGAAAAACTCAATTTACCGTTATTTAGCAAGCTCCAAAATACATAAAATTCTTTACGCAAGATAAATTTTCAACAACCCAAGTATCAAAAAAAAAAAAAAAAGCTGTGAGTAGATGAAAAAACATTCTACGCTATTCCAAAAAAAAACTTTCAAGTGGTGGTCGAAAAAATAAACAATGATGATGAAACTACGAAAGCCATCATTAAAAAACAAGTAACAAGTTCAAAGAAATTTTGTAAGATTTTAAGATAGACCAAGAAATGTCGTGCTTCACTTTTCTTATTAGAAGTGATCTTAACTTACCTATTCTCTTAAACCACCTTTATACTAAGTCAGAAAACTCTTCCGCTGCTGACACCTATTCGGAATGAAGCAAACTAAGCAAACGCATGCGGTGCAAAGAACTTAATAGCATAAGAGAACGCTATTCCTCATCTGTATAAATGGTATAACTCTACAATGCAATCTGTGCTGTTAACCACTATAAATACTGGTGTGCAAAACTAAGGATAAAATAGCAAACAGCATGCTGGTTTGTATCAAACTCATGGCGGCTCACCATTTCTGATCACCTCCAATTCTTGTTCATCATAATCAATGAGTTCGTCAAAAGCCTTGCCATTCACATGAGCAGCAATGGCGCCCTGCCTATGCTTCCCGCTCACAGAATCATCGCCGTTCAAATCATGTCGCACCTCTTACAATAAACTAATTTTAAAAACAATGAACCTACATGTTCGTTCCAGCTCAGTAAAACAATTTTTAACAATCAAGCAATGAAAGAACGATGTGCTTATGATAAAATCTGTTACTGCTCAAGGAAATTATGCAAACTACACGAGTCAAAAATAAAAAGGAATATTTAGATTTGAAAGAAGATCCACTTTTTCACTCTTTGAACTAATTTTAGAAAATCCTTAATGCGCACAAGTCTTTCTGAAGATTCTAATCAAAGACAGTTTGCAGTTACTACTAAAAGGTGGCATGCAATGCAGAGTCCAAAATCATTGCACGAAGAGTAATCAGGAAAAAATAACTGTTAAAAAAATGCAGGCTCAAGTTCCCAATGAATAAACTAGCTAACTGCTAAAAAAATAAAAGTGAGAAACATACTAATGAAAAGTATATGAGTGAAGAAAAAAACCCTTAAATCGGTAGAAAAAATGTATGTAAATCAGAATTTTTGGTAAGACAAAGGTGTTGAAATTTTTTACTCTCAGCAAAAAAATTATACTATTAAAACTGATCTACTCACTAAACGATTCTCTATTATGAAACAACAAGGACATCAAAACGATAAAATTCACTAATTAGGCGAAAATTCTTAATAACGTCAAGAAAATTTGTAGGAACTTTCCTTACAGCTTCAAAGGTCCAAACAAGCAAACATTCAATGATACCATCGGCCAGCAAATCAGAAGAGGAAAACGTGCACAAGCCTTAGTAATAATTTACGACTTTGACCTCTATTACACACGATAACGTACGTATTAAAATTTGGGCTGTCTTTTTATTAGCTCATTATTCTCTTATAAATTTACAAAACCACTAGAGCATTCTATCTACCTAAGTAATCAAGCGCAATTTAAGTTTTGACGCACAACAATATTGACCCGTCAAATTAAACGATTCAGCTAGTAATTAAAACTATTCCATAAGTACAACATACCACTATCGACATTAGTTGCCTCCAAACTCTCTTTCTTCGCAGGAACACTGTCTCGGTTGGTCCTTAAAGAATCGGACCCATTCTGAGATAGATGAGCAACGTTCTTCTTATATATCTGTTTTTCGTGAGTTGCACTCCGCTTACCTCCTAAATTCAAGACTGCCTTCTGATTCAGACAAGGAAATTTAGAAGAAAATAATCAATAAGTAACACACTCAATAAAATCGTGAAATCCAGAAAATCGTCAGATGACTTCTCTCGCCATTTCATATATTCGGGATCTTCAGGGACTTCAAAACCACTTCTCGATGCATATTCCAAGAAACGTGGTATTAATTTGCAGAAATTAAAGTGGTTTGGGGAACTTTCAGGACAATCCGGATCCAAAGGATCAATACACCACCGATCTAAGTAACCTTTTCCTATACCAGCCTAAAAAAAAAAAGTACGATAAGCAAAAAAAATTTCTCTAAAAAGACAAGAAAACTGTTAGAAATTTTAACTTATTCATACTCTATAAAAAAAACTATGTAAGTTCCCAATCGGAGCAATATCAGCAATCTGTTTAACAAGAGCTTCGGGATCAATATTACCCCAGGAAAGCGTTCTAAGACCAGAGAGAGCTGGGAAAAAATATTCAGCAAATCCCAGTGTACTGCAAGAGAAAAAATTGATATGGAACTAAAACAGAGAAAATTTAAATTATTCGTTGTTATAAATCTAAGAGGTAATCAAAGTTTAAATCCATAAAAAATAAACTAAGTTAGGCAGCAGTAACTCAAAAATAAAAAAAAAAAGACAAATGAGCAGATCAACGCTGCTTATTTTTTTTTTCGAGTTTTTCAACCTTGATTCGACGGGCGGATGCGGACCGATTGCTTTTGATCCCTCCCAAAAACAGTCAATTGGAGTTATCAAAACACACGGCACAATACGATCTACTACAGCAGCAAAGCTCTTCGCTAATGAATTATCATCGATTTCTGGACTGGGAGGTTTGAAGCATATATCTGACAATGTCCAATTGCTGAAAAATTTGGTTTTATCATTTACGAAAGTTGAACACTCATTAGTTGGAAATATCAAAAATTCTTACACGCCTCCACTTGTAACACTGTACTTTGCTATTTCCTCCATTAAAGCAACATGTTCAAGTAAGTCATTCTGATTTAATATATTCTGGCCTTCTTCGCGCGGGACTTGGATAATGACCTGTAAGCGTTGAGAAAAGTAAAGTTTTGAAATATTGTTCCGAAACCGTACCAAGTCCAGAAATTAAAGAAACCAAAGAAATATTAAAGAAAAACCAGCACACAATAATTATAATTACTTGAAATCCACCGCCTAATCCACTTTCACGTTGAACACTTCCCTTGATAACACTCTTTTCCTCCACGACTGAAAGGAAGTTCAACTCCTCATCCAGTCTTCCGCCCTCTAAAACCAGAAAAAGAAGTAGCAAGAAGAGGTGCACAAGTAATTACGTAAAAAGTTCTATTGACATTTAACATGAAACCAAAAACTTATTACAAAAGCAACCGCTGAATTCAATCTTAAATTTACTTACTAGCAACCCATAACTTAACGATATCGGTCTCAATGCGAACGAACTGTAAACCATAACAACAAATTCCAAATAGTAACGCCACAATAAAAATAACGAGAAATGAGTGGCGCTGAACAAAACTACCTAACGAATACAGAATTTTTTGAATAAAACTCCTCGAATATAGAGCAGCGCGATTTCCTCTTGCTTTTCCCTGTAAAGAAGTTAGTAAAATAAATATTAACAAGAAAAAATTGAAAAAAAGAGAAGGCAAATCACCACTGCGCAGATAAGTTTTGTATTTTGAATCTTTTCAACTTAATTTTACATTTGTAATACCATCTAATAAAAAATTATCAAAAACACATCCAACTTCACAATCCCTAAAAGATAATTCTTTCGGCAGTGGGTCTCTAATTCTTAAAAAATTCTTTGTAGGGCTGAATACCGCTCGATGCCTACGACAAAAAACCTAAGCTACACAAAAACCGTTGGAAACCCCTATAAAGAACATCCTTCCAAAGTCCACCCTTTAAATCTTTCATCTCTAAAAAATATCAAAATTTTCGAAAAGAAAGCGATTTTTCAGTAACAAAATGTAATCAGCTTTTATAATTCAGTCATGCACGAAAATAACCACTACTAATTGCAATTTCACAAAATTAAGAAAATGAACACTTAACAAAAAATTAATGTGAACTAAAAAAACTTTTATTACAAAAATGAACATATCATACGATAGCCAAACACTGCAGAGCATAGAAAAGACTAAGTGAATAAATAAAAAACTTATGAAACCTTAAAAGTTACCAGTTCACTGCAGAAAGTTTTATCTTATTTCAGCAATTAAAACACAGCTAACTTTACCCGTTTAATTTGTTGCAGTGTCATGTCAGCATCACACCATGACGGCCGTTCGCTGAATTCTTGTTTCCAGCGCTCTGAAAAGTCGCCAGAATTTGATTTTCCGACCAAGAAGCTATCCAATTTCTGCAAACGGCAAAAAGCAATAATTTCTGGGAATTCTTCAGTGAGAAATATTTCTTAGCAACGACTGAAGATATTTTAGATCAGTTATGCAGCAACTGTTACAAGTCTCGTATGCAAAAAACGCAAAACGCAGCTAATATAGCTGTCTGATCCCACTTATTCTCCGAAACTAAGTGAAAGACAATTATAAAAGATCAAATCAGTTCTTTGCGTTACTTCACCTGTAAGAAAGACTTCGATTCGTTTGAAAAATCATCCGACCCGTCTAAGTCATTAAGATCAATGTCATCATCACCCCCCAATCCTAAAAGTGGATTTTGAGGCCTACTCGTTGGTGACGTACCGCGTTTTGTACCTGGAGGTTCTATAAGCATCAACATCCTGAAAAATTTTCCTGAGGTGAAATAAAAGCGAGTTTTGACCAAGAATTCACTGCAACTGGTTCATGATTTTGTAATTCCTTTCCAATCTCATATTTATCAGAAGTAAACCTACGTTACCTTTTTAAAGTCCCACACACTCAAATATTTTGATGAAACATCACATCAACTTTTAAAAGTTCACATACTGCCTAAGCTCGTTAAAAAATAAAACCACCCCATTAGGCAAAAAATTTTTCAAAAGCTTAATAAAGTGAAATAATGATGTAAAAATAGAGATGGTGCATCAAATGTCCCTCTAACTGTTAATTTTCCTTTTTATGTGACTTGTAAAATTCCAAATCTGTCGTATAAAATTAAAATTGCGATTTATGAGCAATGTCAAAGGTCTATTAATATTTTGAACCAGAAGTTTTATTTCATCCTCTGAGGAACTATTCAAAGGAGAACACCTAATAAAAAAAATAGAAAAATTAAGAAATTACTATCAATGATCTGGAAAGAAAGGCTCGACGAAAAGAAAAATTTTTATAATTTTATCCCACTACTTCCAAAGAGCCACAGATTTCAAAAATATGTATCTTTTAAAAAAAATTTAAAGTTAATGCCAGTACAAAATATAACGAATTACTTTTAACCAAAGTGAAATTTTCAACAACAAATTTTGGAAAGCATCAGGGAGAGCTAACCTTCTTACGTACCGAAACTTTTAAATACCAGCAATGACTGGTTACAAATTTTAACAAGGAAATCATAGCATTAATGGCTACAATGATATCTATAAATTACTTTTTCTAGAACAAACCAGTCTAGGCTGTTTGTTTTCGACAAATCTTGGTTTAAAAATCGCCTTACTTAAGCCAACTCAATACAACTGAAGGATAAGTTCTATTTAAATCAATAATTTCAATAGAAAAAAAGAAAAATATAACTCCCCAACCGTTCATTCAATAAAACCACTATTATAGCATTGTTAAATAAAGTAATGACTACAGATTTTTTCTAAAGAGAAAAGTCCCTTTGCAAAATATCTCCATTACTGAAAAAGTTGTTATGGTAAAGAGACGAAGAAAATATAAACAAAACTCAAAAACCAAATTAAATCCTTTTACTCAACAACAATGAAATTCTAGAAGTAAACCATATCAAATTTATCCTAGATTACACACAATTTTTCAAAAGTAAAAAATAAGAAAGCATTACCTTAAAAACTCACAAAGTTGTGCTCGTCTCACGAAGAAAAATGAAAAAAAGCGGATAAATCCGCACCCGTAAAATCAAACAATATGTCAAAACGTTGAGGTGCACTGCATCAGACAGTGATTTGGAAGAGACAAATACTGTTGTCGAAAAGTAGAATATTGAAATTTAAACTGCAGTACTACCTGAAACAATAAACTTTTTTCGTTCACATTGAATGAAACGTCAACGGGAAGTTAAAAGAAAAAAAAAACGAACGATAAAAAAGCTAAGTGAAAACTGAATGTATTGATTCTACAATAGCGCAAAACCACGTGTAAACGTACACATACGCATACGCATATACACACTGAATTCTGAGTAAACATTTTACTGCAGAACATTTTAGATAAAAATCCAATTGAATCATACATGCTCTCCTTCAAAACTTTTTTCTATCAATTCAATTCAGCCACTGCATTATGAAAAGCCATGATTTTAAACGACCCTTTTTCAAAAAGAACGACGAAAAAAAATTTTTTTTCTTTAAATACAATAATGATCAGTGTGTGCGTTAAATTCAAATCACCGAAAAAAAAACTAATATATAAAGGAAAAAAGAAAATCATCTTCGAGCTAACAAGACGGACAAGAATTAAACAGCACAAAAAACACATTAGTAACATACTTCCAATGTTAAACAGATACTAAACCACTTTTAACAACATTCAGTTTTCTTTTCACATCAAACAAGTGAACCTAAAGTATCCGGGATTGACCGCGCTAAGTAATTAAGTGCAGTACTTCAAAGTCTCAGAAAATAATACAATTGACCATTTGAAAAATCTAATGATAACTTACTTACCTTCTGAAAATTATGCAAATTAAACCTGCAAAAAAGTAATTACACCACTTACAAAAACTGTTGATAAAGCCAAAAAATTTCGGCATTAGACTTGACAACACTATTTTTTCTTTCCATAATTACCAATACTCTCATCGTCGTCTTCTTCACTGTCATCATAATAACGTCTCCATAGAAAGTCCCTTCGGACCCCTATGGCAACCAGAAAATAAAGAAAAAAACAAATTTCTCATAAATACAATGAGGAAAATGTTGCACTCTCTTCAAACCGATTAACCAAAGAGTAAGACATAAGTTAAAATACGTGAATAAATAAAAATAAAAAGACTGGAAAATAAAAACAAAAAAATAAAATAAAAGAAAAGAAAAAACCATCCTATAATTACACAACTCCCACTAATTTCCCCCAAAATTTTTTATAACGCTGGAAAAACCGAACGACTAAACTACTGTCAATCATTTCGCCGTTCTCCAATTCCCAGTAACATTTCCAGACTATACGACTTTTTAAACTATCAAATATCTATATTCATTTTCTGAAAAGCAGACGATTTACTACTGTACAGCACCACTGACTCACTTAAATGCCATCCTCATTATCACGACTGCCAGTCTAAAAACTTCCGGTAAAAAGATCATTTGACTGACGTTCAATAACTTCTTGTTTTGCAGAAACAACTCGTTCTAACAATACCTACTGCCAAATTAAATTAAGACCTTAAATCTTCGGCTACTAATCCTGCCTAGTAATCAAGAAAAAAAAAAAAACAATGCAAGTCTTCTATAAACTTTCCTGTTTTCTGTTCTTCCAAAAGCAAATTTAATGTACCAAACCAAATACCTTTTTTCAGTTGCCTCCTAATCAGACCCGTAATTCAGATGAGATGAAGACAAACCTTCATTAAACAACATAAAAAAGGACCAAAGAATAGGATCAAGGTGAAACATTGACAACACAACATTATATAACAAAACGTGGCAAATAGACCGATTTTCTTTTTGAACAACCCACACTCAATTTTTCTTGTTTAAATTTTTTGATGTTCAAGTTGAAAATTAGATGCAATCAAGCGTCTCTGTTTAGACCAGAAAAAAAAAAAAAAAAAA